AGAGCCAGGTCTAATGACTCTTGAACCCTGAGATATAATTTGCTTTGGTGATCTCAAATGGGTAGAAAATGGGAAACTGTTCAATCAAAAATACAAAGGCTGGGCTTCCCTGGTGGTGCAGTGGTTGAGAGTCTGCCTGCCGATGCAGCGAACACGGGTTCGTGCCCCCGTCCGGGAAGATCCCACATGCCGTGGAGCGGCTGGGCCCGTGAGCCATGGCCGCTAAGCCTGCGCGTCCGGAGCCTGTGCTCCGCAACGGGAGAGGCCACAACAGTGAGAGGCCCGCGTACCGCAAAAAAAAAAAAAAAAAAATACAGAGGCTGATTACACAGTGCATCTCAACATCACAATGTATCCAGAGTAGGAGTCCTTTCTGAGTTCAATGCAAAAGGCAGAAACAATAAAGGAAAAAATTAAAAGACTTCTCTCAAATATTTAAAATATCTGTGTTGAAGGGGATGGTGGTGGCTCATCCCATGTCCACCACACAGTGGGACTGAATATTCAATAACAAAAGAATATTTAATTAAATTGTGGAATATCTACACGATGGAATGCTGGTTAGCCACTTAAAATCATCTTTTAGATATTTTTTTTTGACATGGGAAATAAGGATACTGATCGGTGGAAAAAAATTACATTGAATTATATATACCATGGTATTTTTAGGAAATAACAATATACAAATATGAAAATAAAGGTATTTATATACGTCCATAAATTAAAGTTATTATTAACAGTCAGCTTTCTTTTTGTGTTTTCAAAAAGGTTGTGCTAATCACGTATTACCTCTGAAATTGGAAAACAACAAAACTAAACATTAACAGAAGGGTTGGTAAAGCACCTCCTTTGCCATAATCAGTACCCGATGCTCCCCTGCTGTCCACTGTCCAAGCCATTCAGAGCTTGCCCAGCGCTCTCGCTCTCTCTCTCTCTCTCCCCTTCTCCTGGTGCTGGCTACCTCATATCTGTTTTCCCTGGAGATGATGGCATTTGGGTGGGTCTGTGAATTTACTGTTTAGGTGCCCAGTTTTGCCATTTATGAGCAATAGCACTGAATATGGTTATGATTCTTTGATTTAAATTTTAATGACTTTTACATTTGAATGTCTAAAACAATATTTTCAAATTGTAGTTTACAGACCACTTTACACTGGTTTGTTAAAAATGCAACTTCTTGGTCTTTTTCCCAGGCTCAATGAATCTAAAATTTTGGGAATAGTGTTCTGGAATTTACATTTTTAACTAGCTCCCTGAGTTTGCCTTTTTGTGTTTTTAATTAACGTTTATTTATTTATTTAATTTTGGCTGAGTTGGGTCTTTGTTGCTGCGCGCGGGCTTTCTCTAGTTGCGGCGAGCAGGGTCTACCCCTCATTGCGGTGTGCGAGGTTCTCATTGCGGTGGCTTCTCTAACTGCGGAGCATGGGCTCTAGGCGCACGGGCTTCAGTAGTTGTGGCTCACGGGCTATAGAGCTCAGGCTCAGTAGTTATGGCACGCGGGCCCAGTTGCTCTGCGGCATGTGGGATCTTCCCGGACGAGGGCTCGAACCCATGTCCCCTGCATTGGCAGGCGGGTTCTTAACCACTGCACCACCAGGGAAGTCCCGTGAGTTATTTTTATGCACATTATAGTTTGAGAACCTCTGGTAATGGCTGAGATCAAGCATGAGATAAAAATATCAAACTAGTGAACACACTTAAAGTCTGAATATAAAAAAAAAATAAAGTCTGAATATTTATCAAACTCCTCATCTGAGCTATTTTTCCAGCAGATGCTTATATATTCAATATTTTTAAAGGCAAAACATATAGGGACAAACTAATAATAATAATTTTAATAATCTAAGCACTCCCCCCCACCCACCAAAAATTTACTACTTCATGAAAGCACCCAGCATGTATGTGGCAATTGAAGTGAATAAACCAAGAAGCAATGTCTTAAAAAATAAAATGAAACAAAACAGCATTTCAGAAATAAAGCTTCACATAATGGAAGAATAAATCTGGATTTAAACATTCTCTGCTATTCCTGATGCCAAATGGCACCTGACAAATTTGGACACCAGAGGAGTTGATGACCTGGTGAAGAGATTAAGTCTTGAAAGCTTTCACAGCTGGCTTTTCAGCTTGACCATGGGCTCCTCTTGGGCACAGGGCTGTGTCCCACATTCTGAGACTAACATATGGAAGGAAACTGTGACCTCCAATTTCAATCCATAGCAGGTTTCTCCAAAATGTTGGAGAGAGAAAATTGGTCACAGACTAACAGTCAGAGAGAAAAGCATTGCCAAGGATGCAGTTGATGGTGTCCTAGGAAGAGAAAGCTATTTCCCTGGAGAGAAAGGCTTGTATGGGAACAACAGGTAGAAGTATCAGGTTGTGGAAATGCCCCGAAACCACAAGTCAATCAAAAACCAAGGTTCTTTTCTCTGTTAACTTTTTTTAGAGTCTTGCTTGAATTAAACATGGCAGCACGGAAATCCAGGACATGTTTCAGTAAATTGTAAAAAATTTTGATTTATTTAGGTTAGAAATCAGTCTCTAAGCAACTGGTTTTTGAAATGTTTATGAAAACTGTGCAAATATTTTTGGAATAAAAGTTTTGATTTTTAAAAATAGTTCATCTAAGTATTCAAATATGGTTTTTTTTCATAACAATTGTCTTGATACTTGATTTAAAAATAGTTCATCTAAGTATTCAAATATGGTTTTCTTTTCATAACAATTGTCTTGATACTTGATTATCTGTGGCAGTCATGAGAATTGCACCTTGAGAACCTCCTACTAGAGGAAGCTGACTGACTGAGGGCCCAGCCAACTGTGCATTTTCGCAGAGGTAACCTCTCTGATGCCCAAGTGTGGTGGGCATACTCAGACCTATTATTGAGAGACAGGGGATGCTTCTCAGCTCACTTTGTTAAAGTTTGAAAGCTACTAAATTCAGGGGAGATTTGTTATAAAACAAGAGATAACTAATACAACCCCTTAAAACCATTTACTTATGTTAGTTTTTAGTGTACTATGTAGTTATTATATATAATATATTACAATAATGATATTTATTGGGCATTTATAATGTTCCAAGTACTGTTCTAACTGCTTTACATGAATGGAGTTATTCACAGCAACCCTATGACATTTGTGTTATTATTACTTCAAATTCATAGATAAGAAAGCTGGAGTGATGGAGAGGCTAGGTAACTTTCCTAAGGTCACCGCACTGGTAAGTGGTGTTAACGGGACTTGAACTTGGAAGTCTACTTTCAGAGCCAAGCTCTCCTGAGGTGGCAGTCAAGCTGTCAACTGGGGCTGTAGTCATCTCGAGGCTCAGCTAGTGGTGGAGAATCTGTTCCCAAGTTCAGTCACATAGTTGTCAGCAAGTCTCTGTTCCTTGCTGTTTGATTTTTGGCAGGAGACTTTCTTCCACACCATGGGAACTTATCTCATTAGTGAGATTACAAATGAGATCATACTATATAGAGTTTTGTTTTTTTACCCCACCCTGAAATATATTGTAAATATTTTTCCATGTAACTAAATCTATTTCTAATCATCATTTTTTTTTTAAGGTTTGGATGCAAATTGTCAACTTGAAAAGACAGACGCTTTTAGGCAAATCAGCTAAAATATCATGGAAATACTCTCACTTTATCTTCTTTGATTTATGCACAATATCAGGGAAACTTCACTCATCAGTTGGCTGTCGACTTCTTTAAGTCATTACTATTAAAAAAAGCAAAATTTGTGTTTTTACTTGACAGCAGAGATCTTACCTGCAATTTATTATTATATACTAACATTTATCTTCTTTTTTTGCAATTATAAGATAACTTATAAAATTTGAAATTCTACAAGAGCTAAATATTCTATTTTTCAGTGCTAAATGTAGAGCTATGCAAATTAACAGGAATGATTCACTACTATAGTGGAGACAAAGTATTTTCAGTAATTGAAAATTTCTTACTGACTTGTCTGAATTATTATGGTTTTTTTGGTGTTATGATAATGAAAAATAGTCTGCCAAGGGTAGCAGGAACATTTCTCTCATCTCGGAATTTCACACGAAGGCATCCTACTTAGGGTTCTTTATTATTGGTTTATGAGAAGAAAGCTCAGAGAGGAGCTTTGCCCTGTTGGTTCCACACTTCACTTTGTATGTGAAATTGGCTTAAAAGAGCCCCATGCTAATTGTCTTTACAAACACAAACCCTGCACCTTGGGGAAAAGGAAGTCAATAAGATGAACACCTACACCTTCAAACTGATGTTTCAGGCATGAGATCACTCTAGAGAAAATTAATCCCAGTAGGTGGGATCTAAAGAAAAGGAAAACTTGAAAAACAACAACAAAATTGCAGCTATTCCAAGAAAAACTCATTCCAAATGAAGCAACTTCTTCATTTTTATCTGTTAAATATGCCTTTTGGTTATATTTTTTTCTTCTTAATCTAAAGAAGAGAGTATAGAATTGTAGGGTTTCCCAGTGTATCACTCCTTGAGACCTCCCTAATTTCTTGCGTTGCTCTCGTTCTTTCACTGAAATGTACTAAATACTTACAATAGAATAGAATACAAAAATTCATAATATTTTTCTGTTTTCCACCAATATTATTCATGTAAGAGAGAAATGAGTTTTCCCTAAATGATAGTCTAAGTCTTTAATGAGTTTTAGATTTGGCATTATTCTGTAAATCCTTTCAGTGCAATATTCTTTAGGGACTGGATTATAACTTGTTGAGTATATCTTTCACACACCAAGTTACTTAGTTGACTCAATTTATGACATATAAGCCAGAGTGTTATTCTAGGAAGTTCCTATGGGTTCAGAATCTCTATTGCCTAGGACTCAATGTGCCCTTCTAACTCTGCTTTTTAAAAACTGGATATAGGAGGGAACCCAGCACTGAGTGATTGGAGCTATGCGTTACATATTGTTTTGAACATTATGGCTGACTATTTAATGAGAATTTGCGACTTTGGGGTAATAAGTGGGAGCTGAGGATGAGGTAAGTTCTTTTTCTTTAGAAACTGGAGGTTCAATTTATTTAATACTCTTCAGAAAACATCACTAGAGTAAAGTTTAGCGCAGAATCAGATGTTGAACACCATTTTCATTTCTTCAACTGGTGTGTTACAGGAAGCCATTTATAGGCACTAAACACAAGGACATAAAAATAAAAGTTCATTTAAAATGGGCCTTAAGTCTAAAACTTACTTGAACAATTTTATTACTTCAATTAAGATAAAATATATAATTTAAATAACTATAAATAATTAATGTGTAAGTAGCATGTGGTCCCAAACAATGTTTGTGTGGCCTCCAAAACAATGAGGCAATTATGCACAATAAAGAGAAATACACACAGGAGACCCTGCAGTAGGATGCTATTCTACATGTTACTGATCCTTTTGGAGGGGTTCGTTGGGCTAAAAGAACACACTGAAGATGTGTGGTTAACATTTTAACATTTTAAAGCTTGGTGAAAACCCTTAAAAGTTTCGAATGCATAAGTAAATTTTGTCTCCTGGAACGGAATTTATATTGTCAACAACACTTCCATTTAATTGTTGGTGCTTTCCAAAAGAGAACTAATCAGTGGTTTCTATTTACTGTTTTCATTTCTAAAGACCTTAAAAACCAGTGTTTGTTTTAGACAATTTTCAAGGAAAATTCAGGCTTAGCAGGAGGCTCTTGACAAAGCTCTCCCTGCTGGGTGGCCAGCTGCCTAGAGGGACTGCCTCGCGGGACTGAGGCAGGCCGTCACCGCTGCCCAGGGCCAGGATTCACGGTAGATGCTTCCTATCTGCTGGGCCGCATGTATCATCACAGCCCTGTGCTCCCTGAACAGGAGAGCTTGCTCTTTCAGCAGCACCTGAACGCTTTACTTCTCTCCATCTCCTCCCTTTTCTTCTCTTTTCCATTCTGCTTATTTTGCCTGTTCTGAAAATTAGTTAAAAACTTGCTACACAAAAGCACGAATTCTTCACCTGCTTACAGCCAACTTTCTCTCTTTGTTTCCCAGTACCTGGCGAATCTTGAGGGTTCTTTTTCATGAAAAGTCTACTATTTGGCACTTAAGCTCCCTTTGCAGGATGGGCTCATTTTCTCTAAGCTAAACCCAAGCTGTATTTTACATTTTCCTTCAAAGTACAGTTCTTCTGGGCAAATCCATGACTAATTGACTCATCACAGATGGTCTCTGTTAAGCCAAACTAAACATTAAACAAAATTAGAAAGGATACGACCATTGAAAGAGCACTAGACTGGGAGACTTGGCCCTCACTTCTGGCTCCTCAGCCTCTGAGGGGTACCTGATCTTGACGTGCCTGGCTGGTTTTGACTGAATTTCACTCCCCACACATCAATTATATAAAAGTTATCAATGTAAATTATACATAATCAATATATTGATATCTGACCAATACATAAAATATCATTTACTAAAACGATATGTATAGCATATACTCATGTATAAATAATTATGAACACAAGGATGAAATAGATAAAATAGATGATATATCATATAATAATTACAATTAATAATTAATATTATACATAATTAATACTATTTTTTTCCCCCACAGATTTTACCCTTGCATTTGCAAAGTGTATTGGGATGGGTTCTAGACAGAGTTTTTCTGTCTCAGATGCATCACTCAGAGGGTGAGGCTCATGTCTCTTACAGATGTAGGAGTTAGTGGAGTGCCAGACACAGACTAGTGTGCTCAATTAATGCAGTAGAGGACAGTGATATTTTATACTTTAAATATTATAAGCTCTTAGAGCTTAAAAATATTATATTTAATGTTCATATCATCTGGATATGAGTGTGCTCTGCCTTGGAGACATAAAAGTCCTTTAGAAGGAAGATCTCCTTTATAAACTATTTAACTTTATATGTTCACGTCCTCATTTCACAGGTGAGAAAACTGAGCCCTTGAGAATTAAGCCCAGGCTCCTGACTTCTCGCCCACTTTGTTTTTACCAGTCAAGCTCTACTATGGATAAGTGGTCAGTGCGGATCAAGGCGGCCGGACTGTAGGCCGGGCCTTCTTTCTAACGAGGGCCCCTGGGCCGGGGGCTCAGTTCTGCCCCCTCTGCTAGCCGGGGATAAGTGGGCGCCGGTACCGGGAGCCTCGGGCCCCGCTCCCTGCCGTGGCCATGGGTTGTGGCGCCAGCCGCCCGCGCCGGCCCGGGTCGAGCGGGAGAGTCAAGGCCAAGGCCGCCCCGGAGTCTCTAAGGATGCAGGTGGCCCGCCTCCGCGCCAAGTTCGACCCCGGGTCCTCCCCAGGTAAAGCGGGACGTGAACCGCAGGCGGAGGGGCTGGGCTGAGCAAGGTGAACCGCTGACCGAGGCGCCCTTAGAGTTCCCCTCGACTTGACCCGACCTTACGCTTCTTTCTGATCAAAGGCCTAAGTCCTCCCTAAATCGTCTCTGCCCTTTGAGATGTAAATCTTTTACAACCCAGGAATGTCTTTCTCAAGGACCTGGGCGCCAACCTTTTGAAATGTAATCAAAGAAAGATCGAGGCTCTATCTACCAGTGTCTGTGGGAGGGTAGGAATCTCACTTCCATGACACCCCTTCCTCCCCTAATGCTCTTGAGTAATTTCCTACAAGTTCACTCCAGCCTTACAACTCTCTTGCCTTGTGTTTCAACAGTTGAGTTCAGTCTCTCCCATCGCAGTAATTTTGACCCCTCTTGCAATAGTCTGGAATAAAGTCTTCCTTGATGTTTTTAGCAAGTGTCCAGTGCAATTTCTCTTTGAAAGAGGGGGGAAGTGCAGAAGATAGGGAAGGTTCAAGACTGAAGAAGTAGGGGCTTCCCTGGTGACGCAGTGGTTAAGAATCCGCCTGCCAATACAGGGGACACGGGTTCGAGCCCTCGTCCGGGAAGATCCCACATGCCACGGAGCAACTAAGCCCGTTCGCCACAACTACTGAGCCTGTGCTCTAGAGCTCGCGAGCCACAACTACTGAAGCCCGCGCACCCAGAGCCCATGCTCTGCAACAAGAGAAGCCACCGCAATGAGAAGCCCGCACACCGCAACAAAGAGTAGCCCCCACTTGCTGAAACTAGAGAAAGCCCGCACACAGCAATGAAGACCCAATGCAGCCAAAGATAAAAATGCAGCCAAAAAAGACTGAAGAAGTAGAAGGAGCCGCAGGGAGGAGAGGGAGAGAATTCCTGACCTCAGAGCCCTGGGGGGACTTGCAATACATACACTGGAGCTGGGGTGTGTGAAGGATCTTCTGTTACGTTCTAGAAAAGGAGATCATAATTAGTGGTAATAGAAACAGGGCTTTGAATCAACCAGACTTGAGATCCACTCCTGTCTTTTCTATTGTGTGTCATTGGGAATGTTCCTTAGCCTTTTTCCTTCCTCAATTTCCACCTCTGTAAAATGGGAATAATAATAATAGCTGCCTCGTAAGAATGCTGTGAGGATGATTAAGTAATATATGTAAATGATGCTGCACAGTGCATGGTGCAGGTCCTCATGTAGATACTGTTATTGTCTTCATAAGATGACCATGTAAGAAATGAACAAGGAAGTCTGGCCGGTTGGTTGGCCCGAGAAAGAATTTCCTCAGGGTGCCCCACGTTGGCCAGGTGGAGGAAGGACATCATGGAATCCCCTCCACTCTGCAGCGTTTGGTTGGACACGGTGGTAGGTGGCTTGACTGGATTCTCAGGGACACTTCTAGTCCTAGGATTATACGCTCACCTCATCACAGTGTTCTGACCAGAGTCTATGCAGAGCCATTTCCTGGCATCCTTGGGAAATTCTGGTACAAGGATGACTTGAGGATTAGTCTAGTATCTGCTAAACTTAGAGAAGAGCAAAGTTGGCTGATGCAACTGAACTTGAATCAGAGGGGATATGGGGTCTTGTCAAGACTGAATTGATTGGGTGGCATCTCTGGTCATCTGTGGCCAGGGGGTCTGGTCTAGTCTTTATCCACCCTCATAACCTCCACCTCCGGGTTAGTCCCAGGCCCTTAGATTATGACAAAGTCATAGAAGTAGAGGATCTCAATATTGGAAAGCTTTAGAGACTAACTAAAGGCTCTTCCTTAACCAATGAGAATTGAGCCCCAAAAGATTAAGTGACTTATCCAAGTTGGTGACAGAAATGGGTCTAGGACACAGTCGTCTTTCCTCTCCATTGTGAGCCCAAATGATAGATGATAGAATTTAAGTCTGACTATATTCACTTTCTTCTTGGGAGTTCATTACAATTGCTTCTGTCAAACCGGTTGCGATATTATTATTGTTTCCATGTTTCATTTTTTTTATCATGTTCAGTTTGTGGCAGCTGAGGTCAAAGTAATAATTTTGTTTCTTATAATCTCTGGGATGATGTAAAATTGCATGACCTACAAACCTGACTTTGAGGCTGCTTTGTGAGAGGGTGGGAGTGGAGGGTGGAAATGGAGGAGGTGGGTTGGCCTTGTAGATGCATCCTCCCATGCCTGATTCCATTCTTAATGTTTTCAAAATAAGGCGATAATTTGGAAATAATATTCATTCAGTGAATGATTCTCTCATTCAACATTTATTGCTGTCCCCTCTGTGCCAGGCGCTACACAAGATATAGTCACCCAAGTCATAAAAATAGTCACCATTGTCATAAAAATTGTCACCATCCTCATAAAAATAGTCACCATCCATGGCTATCAAGGGTTCACAAGCAAGGCCACAGCTTCAGGCTTTTGTTGTGGGACGTTTGTTATCTGAAAGCATTTATTTGCACTATAAATTTTGGCTTAAAGCTTACTGTTTCTTCCAATGCCAAATTACTGACATTTTTTTAAGCATTTGGTTTTTGAAGGCTTATAACAGTGTTGAATACCACTCCTTTTATTTGAGTGAGAGTGTAGCTCCTCAGAAATGGTGATTCGTCTGATAGCTGATGATTAATCCCACGAGCAAATGAATTTTCCTGCGGTTTTGAGGGCATAGTCATAAATTAGTATTTGCAAAGTGCTCTCCTCCACATTAGAGGTAATGTGTTGGTCTGCAAAGCAACAGAATTTGAAATGCCTGTGATTATCTTCAAAATCACACTGGGAGTGCATGTGAATAAAAAAAGCAGAGTTGCAAAGAGAAGAGGGGACAGAATCCATTTAAGATTACTAAATTGCTATCTGTTTTGATAAGGTAATTGGCCAGAAAATTAAATGCACCGTATAGAACAAAGCTATTTTCTGTAAGCTGGTACAGCCAAATGCCATTTTTATTCAGTAAACACAGGAATATAAGGAATAAGTAAGTAGACAAATGAAAAAAACTACAGGAAGAATAAACTCAGCAAAAAGAAGTAAGGCTGTTTATAGTACAGATTGATATTTGCATTTGAATCTTTGGTATTCAATATGTGACCTGAATTACCTTCTCCCTGTGTCCTCCTTGAGTGCATGCCATTCGCTGGCGTTCTTACCTGGGAGAAGTTTTAGTAAAGTGGGAAAAGCACCAAATTATGATGCAAGTAAGGAGACCTGGGTTCTAATCCTCACTCCACAAATTAAACAACCAATCAGCTAACCTGATCTTCAAATGTCTTCATTTGTAAAATGAGGGGTTGGATTAAATCATTCTCTAATATTCTTTCCAGCTTAAAATCATGATTCTAAGTCAAGCACTTTCTCAACATTTCTTAAATAAAGTTAGAAGGTTAAATTTTAATAGGATTCTTAAATTTACATAGACATTAACACAGGTAACTAAAGTTTAAGATCCCTAGCCTTTGAAATCCTAGCTGACTTCCTGGTCTTTCTGAGAGATGATTACTTTACACATTACTGACATACATCCCAGGTTAAAATTTTGTTGGCTGTGTAAAATTGCAAGCGCAGTGGCGTCAGGTAGGGGGATCTATTGAGAGCTGCTGGCTGCAAGGGGGTCCTGACACCATCTCCACCTGTCTTCTGAAAGCTGCACTTATAATAGCGCAACCATGCTGACTTTCGCAATGGTACATCTACTGAGGAGCGATTTGGGGTGATACCTTGGGTGAGATATGAGTTATGCCTGGGACTGAGAGCTCACAGTCTAGCAACATGAGGAAGGCTCCTCTTCGTACCCTGTCTCCTGATATGGTTTCCTCCATCTTTGGAGAAGTTATAAATAGGACTAAGCTTCTTTTTTATTCTCTCCACCTGGTTTGGTGGTTGCTGTTGCAGAATGATAAAAACAAGAGTTGGAGGGAGGAAAGAAAATGGTAGATGGAGGTCCCAAAATTCTTCAAGGAAATTTTGGAGAAATGCATTTGAAGGAATTGGATTTAAATCCCATCTATTGCAACTATCAATACAATCTGTGTGGCCTTGGGAAATCACTTAACTTTTTAATACCACCCAGCAGGAATTTTATAGGATAGGATTTAAAAAAAATAAAATTCCTGGCACAAAATAAATGTGTAATAAATGGTAGCTATTGTTATTAAGGTTATTTGTCTTTCTACCAACTAATTACTTTTATATCACTTGCCTCCATTTCAAAAGAAGTTTTGGGGTAACTTTCAAAAATAATGAACACAGTTATGCAAGGAAATTGGATGGGGGGAATATAAAGCTCGAAAGGATGATATAAAGCATCTAATTAAATAATTTTAAAAATCATCACTTCAGAGGGTAACAGATTTATTTGGTCTTTCTTCCAACAGATATGATATCAAGGCTCTTATCAGGACAGGCAGTTTCAGCAAGTTTGTCAGAATGGAGCAGAAGACCACCAAGAAACCTTTTGCAATAAAAGTGATGGAAACCAGAATGAGAGAAGGCAGAGAGGCGTGTGAATCTGAGTTCTCCATCCTGCGGTGGGTTAGCTATCATTACATGGTCCAGCTCCTGGAGATCTATGAGATCCAAGATCAAGTTTACATGGTGATGGAGCTGGCTACAGGAGGGGAATTCTTTGATGGACTCATCTCTCAGGGATACTTTACAGAGCAGGATGCTGTCAGAATCCTCCACATGGTTGGTGATGGCATGAGGTATTTGCAACGCATTGAAAATAACTCACAGGGACCTAAAGCCCGAAAATCTCTTATGTCATCACCCAGGTGCAGAGTCAAAATTTTTTATCACAGATTTTGGGTTGGCAACTCTGGGAACAAAAGTGGTGACTGTACAGTGAGTATGCTCTGTGGGACCCCAGAATAAATAGCCTCCGAGATTTTGCTAAGGAAACCTTACACTAGTGCAGTTGACATGTGGGCTTTTAAGGCCTAATCACATGTTTTACTTCATAGATTCCTGCCTTTTGATGGTGAAAGCCATATGAGAATTTACAGGACGATTCTGAAAGGCAAATATAATTACAGAGGAGATGTAAGAGCTCACTTTCTTTCTATTGCCTTGGTCTTGAATAGAGTTTCTCAACCTTAGCGCTATTGCCGTTTAGGGCTAGATGATTCTTTATTGGGGGTGGGGTGGGAAGAGGTGATGGGGTAGGACTGTCCTGTGCATTGTAGGATGTTTAACAGCATCCCTGGCCTCTACCAACTAGGTACCAGTAGGTACACTACTAGCAGATACTGGTAGATACTGAATTCTAGTAGCTACACTAGATACACACCTTCCCCCAGTTGTGACAATCAAAATTGTCTCCAGACACTGTTTTTTTTTTAAAGAACTATTTTTATTTTAATTTTATTTTTTGGCTGCGTTGGGTGTTTGTTGCTGCGCGTGGGCTTTTCTCTGGTTGCAGCGAGCGGGGGCTACTCTTCGTTGTGGTGCACGGGTTTCTCATCACAGTGGCTTCTCTTGTTGCCAAGCATGGGCTCTAGGCACGCGGGCTTCAGTAGTTGTGGCTCATGGGCTCTAGAGCGCAGGGTCAGTAGTTGTGGCGCACAGGCTTATTTGCTGGGAACTTCCTGGACCAGGGCTCGAACTGCATTGGCAGGCGGATTCTTCACCACTGCGCCACCAGGGAAGCCCTGTCTCCAGACATTGTTAAATGTCCCCAAGGGGGCAAAATCACCCCTGGCTGAGAGCCCCTGGTCTCAAGGTAGCAAGAGCCTCGATTACTGAGTTGTCTGTGGTTAGCCCATGACATTGACAATCAAGTAGATGAGTGAGTTTGCTGTTGTTTCTCCAATCATCATGCAGAGCCTGAGCCAGCTGAGTAGATTAATGTGTACTCAGAGGCTCAGCATGCTGCTTGGGTGTTTGATGAGAGATTTTCTGCCTTGATTCTAGATGATCCACACCCTTTTTGAGATGTAGTGTTTCCTCAGTGAAATGTTTAACTTCACAGTTTGTGTACAATATTTATCCATTGTTTAAACTTGGAACTCCCAGTGTTTACGAATGTGTTAACTTTTTTGTTTTGTTTAAGGAAGGAAAGTTACCAATACTTCTCTGTGGGAAGCCTGACAAAATAGGAAATTCACTTCCTGTTGAGCAAATTTATTTTATGTTTAACTATAAAAGGGCTTTTTTTCCCATATAAAGAAAAGTATGGATAGTTTGATTTTACCTACTTAAAGTGTAACATCTATATGTATAACATCTTAAGCAAAATTGAAAGCTAAATAACAAATTGAAAAATAATATTGTCTATACTCTGACAGATTTAATATCTTTTTCTTTTTTTTTTTTTTGGTACACGGGCCTCTCACTGCAGTGGCCTCTCCCGTTGCAGAGCACAGGCTCTGGATGCGCAGGCTCAGCGGCCATGGCTCACGGGCCCAGCCGCTCCGTGGCATGTGGGATCTTCCCGGACCGGGGCACGAACCCGCGTCCCCCGCATCAGCAGGCGGACTCTCAACCACTGCGCCACCAGGGAAGCCCCAAGATTTAACATCTTATAGTATATGTACATAATTTTTAAAAAACTGATACAAATTGACAATTGAGAACTGAGAATTACATAGGGAGATAGGAAAGGATGGGAAGAATTCACAGACAATGTAAACCACTGATTATTAAAAGCTTGAAAAAAATGTCTAGCTTCACTAATGACCAAAGAAACGCAAATGAAGACAACAATATCTTTTCTTTGTCTTTCAAACTGATAAAGATTAAAAAAAAAAACACTCAACTTAATTCTACTCATTGCTGCTAAGAATACTAAGAGATTAGCCCTGTTATTCACTACTGGTAGAGGATAAATTGTTGTAGATTTCTTGGAAAGTAGTTTGAAAAGATACATCTAGAACTTTTAAAAGTTTATGTATTTTGATCTACTAATTCCACTTTTAAGAATCTAAGGAAATAATCTCAGATGCAGCAAAGATTTCAGTGTCAAGAGGCTCATCTGGGCTATACTACAAAGGTGGACAATTGAAAGGAGCGCTAAGAGAATGTTTGAATAAATTATTGAACATTCATATGGTAGTCCCTAAATTATTCATGTTTAAAAATTATAAGGGTATTGGAAAATATTTCCGATATACTGCCAAATTAAAACAAACAAACAAACAGAATACAAATTGTGTACACGGTATTAACACAAATCATGTGGGAAAATGTATGCATAGGAAAAAGTCTTTGAGGAAATACAGTGTAATGCAGTATAATGTTAACAGAGCTTATCTCCCGGTTTATGGATTATGTACCATTTTGGTTTTCCCCTTTATAGTTTGAGTATATCTGTATTTCTGTTTTGGTTTTGTTTACAAAGAACATATATTTCTGTTTTGGTTATCTATTGTCGAATAACAAACCTTCCCTAAACCTAATGCCTTAAAATAACAACCATTTTATCATGACTCATGATTCTGTGGGTTGACAGGGCTCAGCTTGGTGACACTTCTGCTTCACATGATGTTGCAGTCATCTGGTTCTTGACTGCGATGGAATAGCCTTGATGACCCCTCAAATGGCTGACCTCTTGGTGGGAAAGCTGGATTAACTAGGTCACTGGGACCACTCCGCCTTTTTCTCTCTCCTCTCTCTGTACATCTCAGGGCCCTTTTCTCTTCATGGGGTTTCTCCACGTGCTCTCTTCAGCAGGGCAGTCAGACGTTTTACATGGCGGCTTAAGCTTTCCAAAAGGCAGTATTCCAAGAGGGAGACAAGAAGTCGCCAGTCCTCTTCAAGGCTGGGCTTGGAAATGGCACAGCATCACTTTTGCCTCATTCTATTGGCTACTGTGAGTGCTGGATCAACCCAGATTCCACGTGCAAGGAGACCACATAAAGTGTGGCTCCAGGGGGCCTGGTCCATTGGGGCCACATTTGAACTAGATATCACAATGCCTTTTTTAATGTGCAAAAATAATAAACAGTTATTCTATTAAGAGGTCCTTTTGTCAGGTTTAATTCAGAGGGTTTCTAACATCAGGTTCCTCAGAAGGCAGCCCTGAGAAGAGGGTTCACGTACAAGTAATTTATTAAGGATAGACTCCCATGGACACAGGTGAGGGAGTGAGGGAAGCAGGATGGATAGGGGAGGAGGCCAAGGCCATGGAGGTGAGCCTCATCCCACAGCGTTGTTCCAGCCTGAGGCAGGTGAGCTGGGCCTTCACTCCCACCCCTCTCTGCTGACCCGTGGGGTGGTGGTGATAAGAATGCTGTGGCAAATACTCACTGCTCTCTGGGATCAAGACAGAATGACCCCCGAAGCCCAAGGGTGATGATGAAAAAGATAGAGGTGCTGCGTTTCAAAAGCAAAACACTCCAAAAGAGAAGAGTATACACACATACTGAAAAGAGGGGCTCAGCGGCAGGATGGAGCACTGATATCTCCATGATGTCACGCTCTGTCTCTTGAGGAAATGCCTGTCTGTAGCCCCAGAGTGCTGAAAGCACATACCACAGAGCAGAAGTGCAACTGCTTTTAATAACTTTTTGGATTTATATTCCCTTGGCCTTCTTCCCCATGCTTGTCAGCCACACATGTCTACATATTAACATTTTCTTTTAATATTACCAAGTGTCTTAGTCATCTTGAGCTGCCATAACAAACTGCTACAGACTGGGTGGCTTAAACAACAGAAATTTGTTTCTCACAGGTCTAGAGTCTAGGAAGTCCAAGATCGAGATGCCAGCAAGGTAGGTTTCATTCTGAGGCCTCTTCTCTTGGCTCACAGGCAGCTGCCATCTCACTGTGTGCTCATTTGACCTCTTCTTTGTGTGCATACAGAGAAAGAGAGAATGAACTCTCTGGTGTTTTTTTCTTATGAGGACACTAATCCTATCAGATCAGGGTCCCACCATAATGACCTCATTTAACCATAATTACTTCCTTAGAAATTTCATCTCCAAATACAGCCACACTAGGGGTTAGGACTTCTATATATGAATTTCGGAGGGACACAAACATTCATTCCATGACACCAAGGAAACATATGTCGATAGACTCAGATAAGGGTATCATCATGTTTTTTCTGTCATAATATTGTTGTCTATACCTATCAAGAAGTCCAGTAATTTCTAAATGCATCAATTTTATTTAAAAACCAGGGTGACCATCAAGTCTGGAAGCATAGGTGTGATAGACAGAATAATGCCGCCACCCCCCTCCCACACACCCGGCAAAGATGTCCACATCTTCATACTCAGAATCTGTGGCTATATTAGTTTACAGGTCTTTATACTAGTTTACAAAAGGAAATTTGCAGACATGATTAAATTAAGGGTTTTGAGATAAGGAGATTATCTTGGATTATCTGGGTGGGCCCAATGTGATCATAAGCATCTTTATATGTAACAGGGAGGAAGAAGGGTCAAAGTTAGAGGACATGTGAAGACAGAAAGATAGGTTGGATTAATGTGTTTTGAGGATGGAGGAAGGGGTCACAACGAGCCAAGAAATGTGGGTGGTCTCTAGAAGCAGGAAAAGGCAGGGAACAGATTCTCCCCTAGAACGTCTGAAAGGAACACAGCTTTGCTGACACCTTGCTTTTAGTCCATCTCTAAGAGGAACACGGCTCTGCTGACACCTTGATTTTAGTCCCTAAGATCCATTTCAGACTTTTGACCTGCAAAACTATAAGATGATAGATTTGCATTGTCTTTTTAAAAAGTCCTGTTGTCTATAACTGAAATTCCAGGTGTGACACATTGTGTGAACCACTTCTTTGCTCTAGAAGTCAGATGGAAGAGTGAAATAAATAGCATCAGAACATCCAGAGATCTCTTATGGTGAAGAAGAGAGACATGTTTAATATAAATAGCTGATACTTTACTAGACACCTGGCAGATCTGTACTCTAGTCTCACCCATGTCTAGGCAAAAAATTAGCTATAATGTTAATGTTTAATTTTTCTTGATTTTAGTGTGAAATACATTCCTTTTCATGAAGCTTTTAGGACCATTCCACTGTTGTTCTTTCCTTTTCTGAATACTGTTTAGGATTACCATAAATTTCTTTTGTTTTGACAT